AAATAATAACTAATCGCATTTTAAGACACTCGGAAGTCTCCTCTCTGTCTGCATTATAAATGACCGTTACCCAGACGCTTATCACTGCATAATTTGCACACAAACAGCACCTATGATTATACTCACTGACTGCCAGATGGGCCGCCAAAGCGATTTTATCCGGGCTTAAGGCCCACACCCTGAGATTGTGCACCCTGACTACGCCGTCGATGCTCATGAATGTCTCTAAGACATCTACGAAATTCACTCCTTTCGGCATGCCTTCCATCAACACAATCATAGTATCCCGGAGTATGTTAAATGTGGTGACCAACACTAGTAAGGAAAACATAAACGTACATATTGGATCCACGATTTTCCAATCAGGCTGAAAAATTAAACAATTATTAGTATATGTATACGTCTCTACGTCTAATTATGCAACAACGGTTGGCGATGTGTGATTTAGAAATATAGATGTATTTCTTAATTTGACATATTTTAGYATTCAGCATTCAAGTACTAAAGATTAAATTTTAAGGTAAACATATGTTTGGGTAAATTTCGTTGCATCTATTTGTATGACATAAATAAAGGATCAGTTAAAAAAAATATTATATATCTTTGATATATTTTCACTAAACATCAAACAATTTAAAAACATAATATTTTTTAAATATGGCTAGATATAAAATGAACTTGAACGATCGAATGATTAACGTGGTGTCCATAATATGATGCGTAATGAAAAACCAAAATTCACAATGCAGAAAACAATAATATTTAAGTCGACCATTGACAATTCCGTGAGTTATTTATTAATAATATTTTATTGGCACAATACTATTATATAATATAACCTMGGTTCGCGTACAAGGTTTAGGCAGACTGCGTGGCGTATTCAAGTACATTATTATTTAGGTACATTACAAACCCCGAAACGTACCTAAGTATAACACTTATATATGCGTATAATATGTGTACCTAGTTAAATTAAGTGTTTGAAATTAAAACGCTACATGATATGGGTAAACGTTAGATAGGGAATATAAATGTATTATGAATTCACTTTAATCAAATATATCTAAAACAAACCGTCCTTGTTGAATTAATTAAAAATTAATAAGTTTGCTCGTGTGAATTTATACGCGTTTCGTGCTATTTACACATTGCGCGGCATTAGCGTCATTTTCTTGCTGCARTATACAGGAATGACGTACGGTATTAAATAATTATGTAAAACAAATTTTTTTTTTTAAATTTTTATCACACAATACATACATGTGGCAGGAAGAGAGGGYGGTGGATAAATGGTTATCGAAAATAATATAAAATTATGTAACTACGTGTCGGAATATAATCGTTATAATGATAGTCGTACACTGTATAGATATGGGTGTTATAGATAGGTACGCGCATATCGCTTGGTATCTAACATTTTGTGGATCAGTAACATAAAACGAGTAGGTGCCTAGTTACYTACAGCATTATAACAGCATAATATAGTTTTATGGACAGAAACTCAAAATTGTGCGCGAGCTGATAACAATTTTAGAAAATGCATTGTGTAATAATGATTACAGTAATACTACCTGTGTTTAATAATAGCTCGACGAGTTAGATAAGAGGATAAAAAAAAAAAATCAAATACCGGCGAGGAATTTTATATGCGTTAAATATTCGACGGGCGTTGAACATAAAACGTGCTGGTTGGCACGTATTCGGTCTAAATATTCTATAGTGTCAGCCATTTATACTCACTCTAAAGTAAACGATAACGGCGGCAATCAACACRCCAAGACTCTGAATAATRTCTCCGAGGACGTGTATGTAGGCGGCCCTTACGTTGATGTTGGAAGTGCTCCGGCCGGTCGCCTCGTCGTGGCTGTGCGATTCGAGACTGCCTCCACCGTGAGAGTGCGAGTGCTGGTGAAGCGTCAAACCCATTCTGTAATAATCCAAACATGCGAAAGACATTTTAAAATCGGATCACAGCTTATAACTAAATACATTATGAATATTATCATATTCATACACGAGCGATCACAAGAAATATATTGGATCGATAGCAGGCACCTTCTTTGGCTTCTTTCCATTGGGCACTTTGGGCACATGCCCGGGGCTCCGCGATCAATGGGGCCCCTAGCTCCTACCAAATCACCAACCAATAATCAATATTAATTACCGATAAATAAACTTATTTCTAGAAAATTCGAAGGGTAATTGCTAATAAAGTCATWATAATAATAATACAATCGACCCGGGTCGGTCGTCCATCGTAGTGGCCTCATTATAACACCAATGTCTAAGGCCTCAAAAAGGTTAAAGACGGCCCTGATCGATAATGAGTTAATGATGGTCTCTTAGACGTGAGACGTCATGATTTAGTGGATCCTGATTGGTTCATTAATTTTTCTTGCAATCTCTGGAAATACGTTGTTGTCAATTCAGGACTTAAATACAAATTAATACTTTTAAATTAAGTTTGACAAATGGAACGATTCTACGACTAAAATCTATTGGTAGTTATAAGCATTTTTACTCGCTTTATAATGATAAGCAGATTAATTCTATTGGTATAATTTATGTTTACGTGTTTGAGTAAAAAAAAAGTATCAGTTAAACATTTCTGTGAAATAAAGTAAAAAGTCGTCTGTATATCATAACATTTTAGAACATAGTTGAAAGTATATTGAGCAATTTTTCAAAATAAAAAATACAAMTGTYTAAAGAACACWCCCAATTTAAACATTTAAAAATCCATTTTATGACTTCACTGTTTGCGTTGGCTTGGCACTAATTTCAATACTAAAATAATAGCAAACATAATACGTTGTTCAAGTATGAATTTATATGCACTAACAAACTACACTAAATGCATATAGTTTCTTGAATGCGTATTTCAAATAAATTGATTTTATCTTGGCACATTTTTT